CCAATTTTTGGGTATTAAATGCTCCCATGGACCAATCACTTTCAAAATCATCAATGTGGTATTTCAATACATTAAACAACTCCCAATTAACTTATTTTAACTAATAGAATCGAACCCATACTCCCATAGACTGAAAACTCATCTCCCAACTCAAACCCTACCATGAATCATAATAAATGAGAGAGGAAAAGGAAGAAGAAGGCATCATAATCTTACCTTAGGTGTTTGGGAGTCTCAATTTAGCCTCAAACGAACCTAATGTCATGCCCGAGTAGAGCCAAAATAAGCTCTTTGTTTTCTTCCTCTTCTTCTATTATTTTCGTGTAGAAATGAATTAGATATATCTGATTTTTGGCTGTGCGCCACGGCGCATGATGCCCTCCACCGTAGCATGGCACAAAGGAGCCCATTACATTTAAATTATCTCCGTGTGCCGTGGTGAACCAACCACACGCTGTGGCGTGTGGCACAGAAAACTCTCTCTTTTTTTATCCTCTTTCCTTACTTGAGTGACCCACCTCCCATCCAGACCCACTTCTAGGGCTAATCTCTTCAGTATAGAGATTACTCTACTAGGTGAAACCAGGAATGCATAGTATAAGCATAACAAGATTGATGAGAATGAATGCCTATATATGCATATGTTATTGCTTTAATTGAAACATATGCTACTTTATCGCTTGTTTTTGATTTTTCTTACTAACCATTAATTGGGGTTACCTCCGAGTTATTGGGACGTATGTCTCACTTCATTACTTTTGAACATAAGTGAAGAGAGTATGAGAAGGTCGGGAAAGGAGTCGAGGAAAGAGTAGCTTCACTTAGTAATGGTATGACTATTATTTGTGTAAATGAATGTATAATAAGTTGTGATAGTAGAGTTGTAAACTAGGATGCATGAGTGAATGTGTATAGTACCAATTAAGATGCATAAGTGAATGTGTATATGAATTGCGATGTGAAAACCTTGCTTGTATGTGTATATGTTGTTGCATCTCACTGAGGGTGCCCTAGTGAAAGGATATATGGGTAAGCCTAGATGCTAAATGAGTAAGTATATGATATTATGTAACTTATTCCACTTGTGTATATGTAATTTGAATGTTCATTGTGTATACATGTGAGAATTTGACACAAATGGTGAGGTGGAGCCTTATTTAAAAGAGTCGAGTATATTGTGATTCTCGACCATATGGTGAGGCGGAGCCCCATATGTAAGAGTCGGAAGGTTAAAAGTTGAACAACTCTAATTGTATATATGAGTTGTATGTATATTTCTCATATAAGTTCACAATTGTGCAATGTGGTATTGAGAGGCCAAAATGGGCAATTGATGTGCTATATATGGTATGAGGTGTCAATGAAGTATATATGGTCCTTTTGGACTTAGTTTAAGGCCCGAAGTGGTCTAATGGGATAAGAAATGAGAATTGAGCACTTAGAGTGAAAGTTTTGAGAGAAAAAGTGACTTTTTACACTCGAGTATCCAATTTTAGATCGGACTACTCGATTGAGTCCAAATTTATTCCATTAGCTAGTATATGACATAAGCTTCATGTGGGTGTTGGAAACAATCCAATTGGACGTTAGATGTGGAAATGGCATGTGATGAAAGTTCATCTTTCGAGCTATCATATGACAGTAAAAATTGTTGTCATATATGTTGTGGCGCACGATGTGCCCACTGCAGCGTATGATATAACAGAAATAGAGCACGTTACTCTGTACCACATGCCACAGTGCATGTGGTGCACACCGCGGCACATTGCCCTTTTTCAAGGTTGAGAAGTTGTGTCTTGTTGAGTGTTTTAAATGTATTTGTACTTTCGCTAGGCCTCTTATTTGGATATATGTTTTAAGAAGTTAGGATCTTACGATTATGAAAACAAATAAAGGACTATTACTTTGATATTGATTTGTAATTATATTATTGATCGTGTAGTTGGGAATGGTAAAGTTCAGAATGATTAGGACTTTACACATGGTCTAAATTAGGGAGTGATGACCTTTGGCCTGGTTACCCCTTTAACAATAGAGAGCTTAGGCTAGTCCAGTCACAAATTGATCATGTTATGAATTATAACCTATTGACTTAGAAGGAATTAGGAGATAGGAGGAAATTAATTGCTCATTTATATTTAAATGTTTTATTATATTTTTTGGTCAAATGTTTTATTATGATTTAATATTGTATTTTGCCCATTTTACATGCCCTTAATGCTTATTCCTAGATATGTTAGAAGTTAGAATTTTGAGAAAATTAATCTTTTAATTTTTCAACTTTTAACTAACTTGTAATTTAGTTCCTTAATTATGACTCACAATGACTCAGTCCTCTCTCAATTATGACTCATGACGACTCAGTCCCTCAACTTTTGACTCGCCTATGACTCAATCCCTCAACTTTTGACTTATCTATAACTCAATCTCTCAACTTTTGTTTGTTCTCTTCTTTAATGTTAACTTACATCCCACATTAAAGAATAAGAGGAGGGTATTTTAGAATAAGATATGAGCTTTTTTTATCTATCTTATTTGATAGGGATAGTTTTTTTAAAAAAAAATTGAAAAATAAGGATCTAGTTATAAACGAGTCAAAAATTAAAGGATTGAGTTATAATTGAGTTAAAAGTTAATAATTAAAAGACTAATTTTCCCTAGAATTTTTGTTATTATTGAAATGTTTATCTCACCATATAATTAATATTTATAGGAGCAGTAAAGGGAAGAACTTGGAGGCTTAGAGCTAGATTGCATCTTGTATAACCTCATTTATCTTTGTGTAGTAGTATGTGTATATATATATATATATATTGCCAATTTAGGGACATATTATGCATATATAATTGTAATTGATTTTGTAACTATAATTTGTTATTTGCCTAGTTTTTTTGTGAACCAAACTCATAAGAGTTTGTGTTTGGGCTATTAAAATTATTGTAGATTAATTATTGTGTTGAGATATTATTGAATGTGAGATATCTAGCTGTTTTTGTTAATTCGAATCTTATGAACTTATGATACGGCTAACAAAATTGTAATTGACTTATAGATGATTTTGATGATGATGTTCATGATTAAATTATGGTATGAAATGTGCCATTTGACTCCTAGGAATTGCTTGGTTGAATTTTTGAGTTGGGAGGTTAATTGTAGTGCGAATGCTTTGGTTCCATGAAAGGACCGTTTTGTCCTTATACTGTGGTGTAATCCCTACTAATAGATTATATTTTGTTTCTGTTTGTTGTAACTCTGATATTGTAAATTTTTGAGTTAAGTGGTTTTGAAAGTTGTTTTTATTATTAGGATCCTCGCTAATGAGTTATATCTTACTTCTGTTTTTTAATAACTCTAATATTGTACATTTTTGAGTTAAGTGATTTTGAAAATTGTTTTTATTATTGTGATCCCATTTTCAAAGAGTTTTCTTTTGTCCTTATTTTCTAGTAAATATGGTTAAACATATTCTACCATAGCAATGGTTAATTATATATGCCCTTAATTACCATGATAGTAAGGTTTAATTAATAGGTCAACTATTGTGGGCATTACATGCTCTAGTCTTTTGATCCAAGTTTAAAGTCTTCTTTTTAAAGCAAATCTATCACCAGTAAAGTTTAGATCAAGAAAATTAGATGAGTTAATGTATTGTTTAAATTGTTTCATTGAGCTTTAATTAAAACCGGCACCCCCCCCCATTTTCATCTTGGGTGGATAAATAAACATTAAATTAAAATCTCTCACAATTAGCCAAGGATCTTCTATGTGCTTAGCAATTGAGTAATGGAATTCCACAGTTGGTTTAGAGCATGAAAGTAAGGATTCCCATTATAAACACAAGATAAAAAATATGTCAAGTAGATGAACTTTACAGCAGAGCAATTGAACATTAGAATAACATGTCAATCAATTTTGATCTCAGTATCATTCCAAAAAGCCCAAATATCACTTGCAAGGCTAAACTCTAATCCAACAACAAAAACCGAGCTTTTTTTTTAATTATTATTTTGTTTGCTTTAGTGCCACTAGCCCTCGTTTCAAGCTAGAGATGGGTGACTCGCTCTCGTTTAGTTTTTTTTCATTTATATTACTATTAATTAATTAATAAATTATTAATTAATATTAATAAATTTAAAAATCATAAAAATAGAAAGCAATGGATAGAGTTGGGAATAAGGGCCGGGCTTGACGGGCCGCCCGTTTAAACCCATTTTAATAAGGGTTTAGGCTTAAAAATTTGACATTTTTTAGGGTAACCAGGCTTCAAAGCCTGGCCCTTTTAAGCCTTAGTAAAATGAGCTCGGGCTCGGGCGGCCCGTGAAACCCGTTTTATTATTCACAAATTATTGTTTTCACTTCTTTTTAGATAATGTGCAAACATTGATTTGTATTTTGTACCAGCAATTGGTTGAATTGTTTTGTACTATTTTATAGTAATTTTTATATTTTATCTTGTGATATATGTATAGATAATTAATTAATAATTGATAATTTTTATATTTGATAATAAAACAATTTAATTAATAATTATTATAGGTGATGATGAAGAAGCTGCAGAAATAATTAATATTGAGCCTCCGCCTCCATCTTTTACAAGTGGACCTACATCTGAGGGTTTTAATATTTTATTTATGGAAGATAATGAGGGACATCTTGATTAGGATTGATGATGATGTTTGCCTTCATCTTATTTGGACTTTTAAATTTTTTGTTCATTTTTTAAATTATGTGAGACTTTGGTTTGATATATGTTAAATTTTAAAATATTCTAAATAAATTTTAATGTTGAATTTTATTTTATTTTATTCTTATCCGGGCTTACGGGCTCGGTTCTAAACCTTATAAATAAGGGTCGGGCTTTAATTTTAGGGTAAAATTAAAGTAATCGGGCTTTAAGATCTATACCTATAAGGATCGAGTCCATATGAGTTAGGCCCGTCCGTTTAGCAACTCTAGCAATGGATGGGGGCAGGAAGGAAAAAATTCGACTTAACCCTTCCTAATAAGCTCGAGCTGTCCGATCAAGCAAGCTAGCGGTCGCGGACGACGCACTCGCACGGGTCACTCGCGGCTCAACCAGATCCACACTCAGCCTCCTCGTTCGACGTCCGTCCAGTCCTAATCGTCCTCGTCTCCTCGTCCTCAACGGTCGGACACTCAGATCCGCAGTCTTGGCTCTCGCACCGATCCCTGACCACGACTCCTCAAGCTCGAAGCATCACTGCACTCATATCACCGCTCTCTGCCTCTCTTGCAATCTTACCTCTCAGACGCCGCTCTCGCCTATCAGACTTGGCCGTACTGCCATTGTCGCGCTGCGCCGTTGCGTCTCAGTGTCTCTAGTGAGTCGCGTCTTCTTCCTTGGCCACTCGATCTCGGCAGCAACTCACTTAGTCGCTGAACAACCACTGTCACAGCTCACACCTCGGCCACTATCGCTCTCTTTCTGGCGATCTCACTCTCAGATTCGCTTCCAGTCTCGTTCTCACGCCACTCATTGGTATAGTGGTATTAACGTCATTCTTTTCTTGCACAATAACTGTATGCAATCTCAGTTTTAATGTTTGAGACGATGGTTTTTTTTTTTTTTTGGCAAATTGAACAATGAGTTTTCACTTTAATTTATGACTGGATCCATCAATTTTATCATATTGATTTGCCTTTTTTGTGTATTTATCGTATTGATTTCCCATGTCTCCAAGAAGACCAAAACCCTTGCCATACGCCTAGTTCGGCTCCTGTGGGTTGAACGATTGAAGATGTAGCCTGTAGCTCTATTTTCTTTTGGTACTAAGTTTTATTTTAACTTTGGCCTCTTTTATCTTTTTCTTTGTCGGTTACCTTAAAATATTTAGGTATGTGTTTGTTTATTTTTATACTTGTTGCATTGTAGATTGGACTTTTGCTGGACTAGTTATTTATTTTCAATTCATTCTTTCATTGTTTAGGAGCCTGATCAGGTTAGTATAATTATTCTTTCAATAGTAAAGGTGGAAGGGTCTGAGTGAACCTGAAAGTCACTGATCATCATGTTCGATACAATCATCGTTAAAATCATTGTCTTCGAGATCATCTCTAGCTTGAACATGATCTTCTAATAATTTAACATCATCATAATCGTCCCCTTCCATTTGTGTTTCTAAGAGTGTGTTTGGGAGTAGGATTGAATGGAAATGAACGATCATTAATGAAATGGAATGGAGCAAAGAGTCATGAAATAGAATTTTACATTGTTTGGGGGTTCGGTGATAGGAAGGAATGGTCTTATATGACCATTGTGTGGGAGTTATTATGAGAATGGATGGAATGGAATGGGATTAAAACTGTTTCTTTTCCAGTATTACCCATGTGAGTAAATTTAAAGAAACTAATAATGCCTGTTAAAAATTTATAATATTTGTCCTACAAAGGATAATAATAATTAAAATTAATGGTCAAAACAAGGTGCTTAAGAATTAAGAAGAAAAACTTGGTTTTGAACAGAAATATATAAACTAGGATGCACTATCATTCCTTTTTGAGTATGCTCATCCAAAATAAAATTTGAAGGTTGTTGCATGAGTGAGTTGGGGGCATTTTTTCAAGTAACAAGCAATTGGGATCTGGGGGTTTATTTTGCTTAGGTAAAAGTTGAGCATCCATTAAAACAGGGCCCCTTGCATCTGAATCTCTATTCATTTGGTTTGTATTTGGGGAGGAGGCAGATGGATTTTTTTTATTTTTTATTTTAATGAAGAGATGGATTAATATTTGGGTTAGCAGGAAAGTGTACTGTGTGTTTAAGTCATGGGTCCGAAACTCTATTTTGACGTAGGTTGTGGTCAGAGGAAATTACCTCGTCTTTCTTGCCAATTTGATCCATTTTGAGTGTGTTGTGGTAAGATAATTCTGAATGAGAAAGATTTCAGTAGAATTGAGAGAATAGAGGGAAGAATAGAGAAGACAGAGAGAAATTGAGGGGATTTACACTATGGTTGGAGGGAAAGGATGGGGGGAGGTTTTAGAGGGGGGGGATTTTAAAATATTCTCCTGCAACCAGCCAAAGGGTTAGAGACAAGAGAGTTAAACTGAATAATGCACAGGCTTCATTGATAAATCACAATGAGTACAATAGAGTAAGGGTATTTATAGGAGTAAGGATCCCCCAACGGCTATATAACTAACTAATGTCAACATTATAAAAATATAACAATACCCCCTCAAAGAGATTCTTGCCCTCAAGGATCAGTTACAACAAAATGAGGAAACTTTTGCTGAAATTGGTACAAAGGCATCCAAGATGCTTCCTCATTTGGCAATTGCTTCCATTTAACTAAAATTTCAGTGATGATTTGACCCTTCTTGTGACCCACTCTTTTCTGCAAAATTAGCTTAGGCTCTGTTGTGGCTGGAATTTCTGGCTAGTCAAGTGGTGGATGTCTTTGCTTCACCTTAGGATGTATTCTAGAGTTAGGCGATAAGTCAAGCTTATAAGCAACTGCCCCTATTTTTTCCAGCACCTTGTAGGGACCAAAAAACCTAGGTGCTTATCTCTGAGAACTCCTAGCTACAACAGATAATTGTCTATAGAGTTGTAGTTTAAGAAAAACCCATTGTCCCACCATAAACTCTTGGTTAGATTTGTGAGTATCAGCCTTCTGTTTCATCATATTGGCAGCACGATGCAAATGATGCTTTAGAATCTTTATCATTTCTTCCCTGGTTGTGAAGGACCTGTTTGACACATCTAGAACAAAATTGTGAGGTAAAAAAGGACAATGGACAGGAGGAGCCTGACCATATAAAAGTTCAAAAAGAGTGGCCTTAGCTGTTGTAGGAAAACTATTGTTGTACCACTATTCAGCCCATGACAACCATTTACTCCATTCCTTGGGTTGCTCCCAACACATGCATCTTAAATAGGTTTCCAAGCACCTCTTGAGAACTTCGGACTGTCCATCCATTTGAGAATGGTAGGCTGTAGAAAGATGTTGTTGAATACCTGAAATCTTCAAAAATTCCTTCCAAAAACCGCTAACAAAAATTGGCTCACAGTCATATATAATTTTAGCGGGGCACCATGTAATTTATAAACACAATCCATGAAAATTTGTGCTAAGGAAAATGCTGAATAAGGATGTGTTGAAGGAATAAAATGTGCATACTTACTCATTTTATCTATCAATACTCAAATTGTGTCCTTACCATTGGATTTAGGAAGCCCTTCAATAAAGTCCATAGTAATACTTTCCCAAATTCTGCAAGATATTGGAAGAGGTTGTAACAGCCCCAATGATGCAATAGCTTCCTTTTTACAGCGTGCACATGTATCACACTGCTTGATGAAATTTGTGACATCATTAATAAGCTTTTCCCACCAAAATATTGCTTTAATCCTATGATATGTAGCTTGAATTCCTGAATGTCCCCCTTGAGGACTAGAATGCAACCACACAAGAATTTCTTGTTTCAAAATAGGTTCCTGTCTTGCTACTGACTTCCCCTTCCTCCTTAATAAGTCACCATCCCAAGAAAAATGGCCCCAAATCCCATTACTCACCTGAACCTTCTTCTGAATTTCTGTGATTACAGCATCATTCTTCCAACACCCCCTGATTTTGTCAAGCATTTCAGGCGAAGAAGTGTCTAAAACAATCTGCATTTGAATTCTGGAAAGAGAATCAGCTATAGAATTTTCATGCCCCTTTTTATACTGAATTTCATAATCAAATCCAGCTAATTTATCAATCCAAAACATTTGAAAAGATGTTTTTAGCTTCTGTCCAAGCAAATATTTCAAGGTTTTCTGGTCTGATTGAATGATAAATCTCTGCCTTTCCAAATGCTGATGCCAATGAAGTACTGCCAGCACCATCGCCATTAATTCCTTCTCATCAATTGAGAGCTTTTGATGTCTCTCAGCCAAACCTTTGCTAAAATAAGCAATAGGCTGTCCTTGCATTAAACAGCTCCCAATCCTACTCCACAAGTATCCGCCTCAACTATAAATTGTTTCAAAAATCTGGAAGTGTGAGTACAGTTGCAAAAATCAAAACATTGTTGTGGTAAGATAATTTTGAGTGAGAGAGATTTAAGGAGAATTGAGAGAATAGAGGGAAGATGGGGATTTAGAGACAAGAGAGTTAAACTGAGTAATGCACAGGCTTCATTGATAAATCACAATGAGTACAATAGACTAAGGTTATTTATAGGGGTAACGATCCCCCAATGGCCATATTACTAACTAATGTCAACATTATAAAAGTATAACAGTGTCATTGGCCCATCACATTAAGATTAATTGGATCCTTAGGCATTTTTTGCTGTGAGGACCTTCCTTGGTTTCCTTCGTTTCTGTCGCCACATGTACGATTTCTCTTTGAGCTATGCTTTTTCTGTCTCCATACTTTTTTAGTAGCCTTATGTTTTGATGCACCCTCAGTAGGAGGGGAAGGCTTCTTTGGGATGTTAGAAATTTTGTCATTTCTTTCCATGTGTGCTAGAACGTTGAATCTTGATTTAACCCCTTGAGTACTCATGAGTAGGTTTTCTCTGTGCATTGGAGGAGGTTCTAGCCGTTGCAGAATCTGCCTAATATTGATATTTGCGAGAACGGTGAGAAAGCATCCACTTGCCCATATTCGTTTTCTGGTGAGTAATCATCTTGCAAGTTTGATTCAATGCTCTGAATCTGTTGGGGATTAACTTGAATATTGTTTGAATTTAGAGGTTGCTTCAATTTCCGCTGTTGTTGATTCGCTTGCTGTTCTTTCTTGCTCTGTACAGGAGCTATGTCTTGCATTTGTTTCTTCTCACGGTTCTTAGGATCATGAGGGCAATTTGATTTGTTCTATCCTTAATAGCCACAGCCAAAACAAATTAGCCCCAAACTTTCGTATTCAACGTGATAGAATTCATCTCAGTTGAGGACTCTTGGAGTGAGTTTTTTCTTGAAATCAATCTGAACACTTACACACGAGCAAGCTTTCCCCTCTCTAATCCAAGAACTAGTGTCTTCAGATATTTGCCTTAGTGTATTCACAGCTATTGTAAGAGTTTCCCTTATGCAATTTCCTATCCTCCACCTATCCTCCATAGGATTTCTTTTTCATAGCATTGGATAGGACTATTAGTTAATTTAATCCAAAGAGCAATTTTACCCAAAGGCATTTGAATTGGGATTGAATGATGGTGACCATCTCTGGACAAGGATATAGTGATCTCAAATGGTCCAAGGGCCTTCCTTAAGAACTCTGTCATAATCATTGATATTCTTGAAATGAACTATGTCGTAGTTATTCACGAGATCAATTAATTTGAATTCAGGGATTCTCGACATTTTCTTGAGCCTTGGTTTTAGATGTTTTGGATGATGTTTGATGCTTTCCATTATTCGCAAATATTTTTTCCTGTTCTTCATTCGAAATAGGCACTGCTGAATGGATATCCATTAGTTTCTGAGTTTTCTCTGAAGGAGACCACTCAGCTTCTATTTCTTTTGAGATCGAGTCATTCTTATGGTATCTATTGATTCTCTAATGCCAAAACATCCGTTGTAGTCTATTAATGAATCGTTGTAAGATAATGGGGGCTCAACAGCATTGATTTCATTGATGATCTTGTTGTGTCATGCATGTAGCATTGTTATTTGTTGATCTCAGAAGCAGATTCATCCATTGTTTTATCTTTCATCTTTGTGTACGGCTTGGATATATTTCTTATGAGGTTGTCTTCTTCTTCTGATTCAGGTGGCTGAGTTTTGAAACAGGGGAAGGAGCATACAAACTTTGCACTATACATTGGTAATCATCATTCTGAAAAGCCTCTACAAACCCTTTTCTCTTCCAACAATGGATTATTCCACATACCAACAACAACAACAACAGGAACAAGGCTATGAATCATCTCAAAATCAAGCCTTTGATCAATCTTCCCAGTCTTATTATGGTTACAATCAACAATATGACCAGCAATATGCATACTATGCTGGCCAAGGTCAAGGAAGTTCATATGCCCACCCACAATTCCAGCAAGAACACACCTCCATTCACCCTCCTGGAGTCCCAATACCTCCTGAACAGGCTCAGATTCAAAATCCACAATTTTCAAACCAAGATTCAGGCGCGGCACTAGGTGCTGCGATGAATCCAGCGGCTGCGGCTGTGGCGATAGCTGCTCTCTCACAGCTCACTCAATTTGCTGGGAACCCTCCGGTAAAATTTTTATATTCTTGCAATCATTGCATTGTTAAATGCCTATGTTGACCCTTTCCCTTGTCAAGTCTGCCTAATCAGTGACACATACACTAGCATATTCTTTTGTGTTTCTTATTACTGTGTCTGGCATTCAATTGGGCATGATATTGTGGGGTTTATGATGCGTTTTTGCTGATATATATTGTTCTAATTTGTTATTCATATTATTGCTAGTGATTTATATTGATATATCTATGAAATGTCATTGCCAAAAAAGAAAAATATTAGCTTCATCTATGAAATGTCGTGACAAGAAGTTTGATCGTGGATTTCTTTTTTCTTTTTTTATTTTTAAATGTTTCAGAAAAATATAATTCCTAGCAGTAAAATACGAACATTCTGAATTTGTTTTGAGTAAAATGCTTCTAGTTTTGAACAAACTTGAGCTGAATTATATAATTTTGATACACATGGAAAATGAAAACTGCTATTGAGTCATTCTTGTTATCTTTTTCACTTTTATTCTTGGATGAGTTGTTGATTTGTGTGTGCATTGGGGTTAGATTTGCTGTGCAAAGTGCATTTGTTGGGACCGCATATTTTATTTACCTGATAATGTACATAAAATGGGATTTTTATGTCAGTTTCACCCTATGTTGATTCAACAATGTAATCGCAAATGCAATGTAATTTATAGACTTCTTCCTGTATTCTCTTCCCTAATCCTTAATGTAAAGGCCAACCAAAATTCTTATTTCAAATAAATGCTTGAAATCTTCTTGAATATTCTTTTGCATCATATCTTCACTTATTTAATTGCTGGCTTTTCTTTGGCACTTTTAGCTCTATTCTTGAACCATCTTGTTGTCTATCATTGGTGCACTTGTAATGTTTTGTTTTATAAGATGAACCATATGTTTACCGTTTTTTGGAGGTAAGAGCAACACGATGGGGTCCCGAGTTATTTCTGCTTGTTATCTTCCCAATAGTAATATACTCATGGGAATTAACTGGTTGTGGTTATCTGTGAGGGAGGTCATTGATAAACTATCATGATGAGCCTAATATCTTGGATCTCAGGTCTCATTTTAGACACCTATGTCTGCATTGTTATCCAAGATATTAGGTATCATTAAATGGCATTATTTTAGTGGCATTCATACCACTAAAACCATGGGATCTCCCCATAAAACCGTTTTTGCTTTATCAACAAATACTGCTTGTGTCATTTCCATGTCAACTTTTAATTGTTATAGTGAACATGGACTTCTTATATTCTATGAAAGTATGCAAGATACAATAGAATGAAATTCCTATATACCATGAAGATACATCTTTTCTAGTGCCCATTATTGTGTTGAGAACTGACACTATTATTCAATCCACTTCTACAAACAAAATGGAAAAGGGACAACAAGATACTGGTATATCATTTCCCCTCTTTAATATATTCTATTGTCATCTTTCCCGCTCCCATTGTGGTTTTTTTGCCATTAGATGTGCTAAAGGAATGGTGTATTGAATTTCAATTGAAAATTTAGGTTGTAATAACATTGTAGCATGTGTATGTTTCAGGGTGCCAAATGATATCCTCTTTTTAGTTTATTTTTTAAGTGCATGCAAAATGATATTCCAACACCTGAGATTTTGGAAGTGATTGCTATGAAGAAATTGTCGAGTAATTTCATTATGAATCTCTAGAGACTCTTGAAGATTCTTTCGTTAAATATTGTTCTGGTCAGTATCTATGTCAAACCTATCAACCTTATCATGAAAGACTTCCTAGAGTGAAGAAAGACAAGATGTTATTTAATGCTACCCTCCATGCTTGTGCCTTTTGCCTTGTGTTTTCAAACTTTTCTTTTGCATTGTTTGCCATTGATTTGTAATTGTAGAGTTAGAGGTGCCTTTGAAGTAGATATTCAAATTTTTAATGATACTCTTACATTTTCCAGAAGCTGTCAGCTATAAGTTTCAGAGAAAGCTATATATGTCAAAACATCATAATGTTCTCTCAGATTGGTTTAGTGATTTTTTTATAATGATAATATTTCTATGAACTATGCATATCTTCTTTGGGAGTACTCCTTTTCTGTTGTTGTCTTTTTGGTTTTGCATGTTGTCTTGGTTAAACTACAAGTTGAAGCTGTGAAATACATACCAATTTTTATTAATCTTGCGTTGTGGCATCTCGAAGTTGACTCACATCTCTTCTCAATACATACCAACTTTCTAGTCGGTATGCATTTTCACAGCTTTTTCTTATTTTACTAAGATAAAATGTAGAACTAAAAAGATATAAATGAAAGGTGAAGGCTTGCAAGAAGATATGCAACTGAAAAGTTTGAAGAGACAAGGTGAGAGAGCACAAGAATAGAGGGTCACATTATTATAAATGTCAAATTGTCATCTTCTAAAAATTCTTTAATGATAAGTTGGATTGGGCTTCATAATGAAATGACTTTTTTCTTCTTTTTTATTTAGTAATAATTACTTCCAAGGCCTTAACTATTGGAATATTATTTTGCATGCACGTCTTAAGTCAAAAGCCACAAGAAATGACTCAACCAAATGTATCATTTTACATCTTAACATGAATATATGCCACAGTACTGCTGTATGCTGAATATGGTATGCATAAATTGTTTGAGAGAACTGCCTACCGAATATGAAACACCTCATTTTCCATCTCAACCATGAATATGGGCTTTCTTGTGGTCCTTTTTAAAATTTCCGCTTTAATAATCTTGGTTTTGATAGTAAGGCTTTTGTAACTGTGTTGGATGAGATAACACTATAATTTTACTCTCCTTCTCTGCCTCTCTTGTTTTTCCCCCTTTTCCCCCTTTTGGTTAGACAATGGTATCATAAGCTCTAAATTAGAGAAAACCTACGAGTTAGACATCCTAGGCATGGGCGTCCTAGTAAAAAATCTGTTATGAGCAACAGATGCCACGCAGGTGGTTTGTGGAAGACATTCTTGCAAATTGCAGTTCATGTGTAGGCTATATTTTGCTAGCAGATCAGCACTTACATTATTTTCCCTGTAGGCGTGAGCTGTGACAAGTGACTATAGATTTATACTATTATGCCAAAACATATATCTGTCCTCCTACTCTCCCCTCTCCCGCATGTGTCTTCTTTAACATACATATTGTTTGTCCTGTCTTGTTTTGAACCTCACACTCTTTGGTGGTGAGTTGGCATGACCAAATGGTATATTCTAACCATGATAATATAAAATGTCTCTGATTGTCCTACTATATTGTACTTTTCATGTTTAACTAGAGTCTCTTTTCTATATAATCTTGATCAACAATGTGAAAATTCATTGTTTTTCATCTGTGCATCATCTGTGCACCAACTTCTGGTAATACTATCGGAAAAAATGGTTGGAGAAAAATAAAGTCATTGCGACGTCTCATATCTGTTTGCTGGATGGCTGTAAATGAGATAAGTTTAATTAGAGCCATGTGGCTTTATCATATGTGTTCCCAATAAAAGCTTGGCACTATAAAGTTTCAGATCCAGAATAGGCTCTACTTTTGATGTTTCTATGGTGAAATCATTGAAAGTGGCATGTTTTGTTCTATGCCAATTTGCTAGGAAGCATGGACCCATACATGGACATTGTGACATGACATGTTCTGAAGAGTTTGTAATTTAAAGTGACATGTCATGTTTAATGAGTTTTTGACTTGCGGTAGGTTTGATGGTGGCCCCCTCTTTGGAAATATCCATGCTTCATAGCCAATTAGCCTTGGTATTTGATGAATTTGTGGCAAGTCACTTGAGTGGAGCTGAAAGAACATGCCTTGAGATAGTTTCAGTCTAACTTAGGCCATTATTGGATATAGTTCTATTGCTGCCCAGATTGGCTCTGCGTATTTTCTTTGAGATGACCATGCTACTTCCTTAATTTACTATAAAAAATTGTAAAAAAATGTACTATATAACAGACTAATTGAAGATTTGCCCCCTTTTTCTGGCAGTTTCTTGACCATTTTTATGCTTTTAGATAGAGAATCTTGCTGTGCTTCCTACGGGTCTTTTGGGACAGTCTCTGGACAAAGGATGATTTTGGTAGGTATTAAATCCTCAGCTTTTCACCTAAAACTGTCAGCTCAGAAGATGTTGAGAATACTGCAAACTTGGCCGCAGCTCCTTAAAGTGACCAGAGAAAGATATTAGTTGCATTATATACTGACTGTTATTGTTGGTTGCCTATCAGTGATGCATTGTGGTGGGTCTTTGCTGGTTGCTTTAGAGCTGATGTGGGCATATGGTCATCCTTTGCATGTTTTCTCTTTAAACATGTTGGTTTACTCTTCAAACCCATCTACTCTGCCAGTTTGTTGGTTCAGATAGGTGGGTTTGTATGTGATGTGGCTTGTGAACATGTTCATCCTCAGCCACTTATTCTCTTGTTTCTCTACTTAACTGACTGGCTCTTTCAACTAATCATGATGCCTTACAGTTAAGTAAGGGATAATTTTCACGTTTCTTTGTTGTGGATATAATTTTTCTTTAATTTGTGTTATTTCTTCATTTGTCAGAGGGTTTTTTGTGCCACGTTTCAGACTTAGGGAAGCATTGGGCATTTTACCAAGGCTCTAAATTGAACATGATGAAGGATTGCTTGATCGACAGTATCTTGAGGCTGATAAAATATGGATGGGCATGGATGCAATGAGTTTATTTGGTCAGAATTCCTGGTGGGTGGGTCTACTATTGGAAATTTTTGACTCTGAAGAAATGGTCGGAGACATAGATATTATCTCAACCATAAGGAGGAAGTTCATATAGATCAAGTGGCATATCAGCACCAAGCCTTGTTTCCATGTAATGGAAATACAATATATGATACGTTTAGGGTACATCCTTGCATGCTTCAATTTTTGCATGGTGTTTCTATATTCTTTGTTCACATGTGAGGAGACCACAGGACAAGTAGGATGTGGGATGCTGTAACATCAATGAAAGCTGGAATCAAATGCTGTCAGTATCCTACAATAGACTTTAAGAATGAGCAAAGGGAAGGAAAGCATAAAAAAGTCTTGATTGTTAGGTTATGTGGCAGGGTTCTTAACCAAATTCACATGCTTTCCTTTTCATTGGTCATTCTAACATCCTAGTGGACCCTTGTTAAACTGTTCCTTGATGAGAATCTATAGGCATTTCATTTTCTATAATATTTATGGTGATGAGTATTTCAATAGAATGTCAAACATGACAATGTTTCACATGAAAAATTTGGATGTTAAGACATATAGGTTTAACTTTAAGCAATTTGGAATAGTTTTAAAGGCTGCCTTGGAAGCAGTTTTAGAGGCTACATTATCTCCATATATGTTTGCCATAAGTTTTGTTTGAGAGTCACTTTTGGCTATAACCTCATTGAACCTCATATTCCCTTTCCTTGAGCAGTGCTTTCTCCATTGAAACTTTTGTTCCTTAGTTTTTGCTTGCTTTAGAGAATCACAAGTTATTCTTTAGATGATATGGGTATGTGTGGGAGTTGGGGGGAGAGTGGAAGGGAAGGAATCCATAAGAAGAGAGGTGTAAAAAGGAAGGGAAGGGGATTGTTGCATGACATTTCTTTCCCTTGTTTGGTAAAGTATCTCATGTATAGTTGGGAATATGGGCGGGCTGACTCTTAAGGGCCTAAACCCTTGAGCCTAGTTCTCCAGTTTTAGCCCTTTTTTTGAGGCCCGACCCTTATGTAAAAGGCTCAGGGCCGAGCCTAGAAGTCCTGTTCTAAAAAATAAAAATAAAATAAAAAAAATTAAACATTGTAAATTAATTAAAATATTTTGAAATTAAAAAAAATTAAAATTATCACAATATTTTAAAAATTCAACAACATATTTAGAAATCTAAACAACACACATTCATCAATTAAAACCCAAATCCTCCTTATCCTCATCATCTACAAATAAAACATTAGATTCCTCGGATGTAAGTGCATTTATTGAAAGATGGAGGTGGAGATTCAATGTTAATTATCTTTATAATTTCTTCTTCATCACCTACAATAAATATTAACCAAATTGTGTTATTATCAATCAAATATATGTATATGTGTATGTATATAAGATAAGCAAGCTTATTAGGGCTTAGAGGGCTACTCGGGCTCAAGCCTTTTTTCACAGCGCTTAATAGGGCCAGGCCCTCAAGCCCGGTTCCTTTTAAGAAAAAAAATTTTCGAAGTGCGAATCCTTATTTAAACAGGACCTCCAAGGCTGACCCTTATTCCCACATCCAAAGTGTCTCAAGTTGGAGGATATATAAATGTTTGGGAGAACATTGGAGGATTTTTTGAGATTAATTTGAAATCCTTCCCTAATATCACACTTATTATTAACTCCCAAACAAGAAAAGGGTTTCAATGAAACCTTCCCCTTCCTTACATTGTCCCCCGCTAAACTTCCCCTTATGGTTCTTGATGATGGCTGCTCACTGTGGAAAGGTTTTTCATTCATGTATACAAATTTGCGTGAATTAGACTAGGCTCCATTCATTTGTATAGGGTCCAAGATGGGCTGTACTTTTTACGGATTGTTAACAATGCGGCTCATATTTTTTAATGTTTTATGTTGGTGGTGACTGCTGTGTTTGTTACTATTACTGTCATTAACCATGTGATTATGGTGTCATATTATGGTGTTGTGTGCACATTTCTTTTCATTCCATGCATTGATCTTCTGCTTGAATATATATATTCTAACCATCTCATGTGTGCTTCACTTCATATTTGAATGCTTTAATTATTAGATTGGGCAGTCTCGATACAGAGGCGGCAGCAGGGGCAGTAGACCATTTAGACGGGGTGGTCGTGGCCATTTCAACCCACGAGGTCATGCTCCTTACCGTGGTGGGGGACGTGGCCATGGGGGTGGTAGGCACTTCCCATCTTATTCTTCAGAATTTGTACCAGCTGCTACCGGAGGCACATCGGTGGCACAACAACCTTCATCATCAGTATCTGGGCCTATTCTAGCACAGGTTCCAGATGTGACATTGCATCCACCACCATGTAAATTTTGGTGTGAAATTTGCAAGGTTGAGTGCAATTCTTCTGAGATTATGGAGCAGCATAAGAATGGAAAGCGGCATAAAAAGAATTTGCAGGTACACGAGGAGTTACAGAGGCGTAAAGCTGTAAATGGACAACAGAATAGCCAGATGCCCTCTTCTCAATTGAATTTAACTGCCCAGGTTGAGAAAGCTCCTGAATTGAAGACAGAAGGGTGCCCAGCTGATAATATGATCTCTGTAGTGATGGATGACAATCTTAAAAATGAACTTGATTTGCAGAACAATACAGGAGAAACTTCAGAAGTTACAGCTGATGATCCTGAGGAAAACCCCAGGGAAGGTTCGGCTTCAAGGGGCCATGGTTTCAAGCGAAAGATGAGAGGAGGCAGAGGAGGTAAATACATGAGAAATAATGAGGGGTCAAGAAAGAAAGTGGAACCTCCAAAACCCAAACAGGCTACATCTTTCATATGTGAGTTGTGCAATGTTATATGTGAGTCACAGGTTGTTTATGACAGTCATTTGACCGGGAAAAAGCATCAATCAAATCTCAAACGTGTCCACGGGCACCAAGCCATGTCCCAAGAACCAGGGCCACAGGCAGCTCCCCCAGCTAACATCAGTGCTGTGTCTAATTCCATTGACATCAATGCTCTTGCAAATTCAATTAACTCTCAAGTCCAACATGGTGTTAATGATCCACAAGTCCTCTTGGCTCAGCTCCTAATGACAGTACTTTCTCAAGCTCAAGCGTCAACAGCGGCAGCGGCAACCACAGGATCTGTAGCTGCTCAGCTTTCATCACTCATGCCAGCAGCTGGCTCAAGTTATGGACCACCATTTCAAAATATCCCACTGACACGAGCATCAGAAAGTGCTGCACATGGTGGGAATGAAAATCCTACAGTGAAAGCAAAAGATCTGGAAGTATCTGATCCACCATTGGCTGATGTTCCTCAAACTGCAGGTAAAAGCTCTGAAATTGAAGAGGAGGTACATAAAACACCAGTAGAGAATCCAACCGCAACAATTGAGCAGGGACCCTGAGAGTGCATAGCTCCTACTTGGTAGAAGTATGTTCTGTTTTACATTGATAGTACATTGTTCGCTGCGATCTTTTATTTAGTTCTGACTTTTGACAACCCACTGCACGGATTCCGTTTTCCTTGTCCCAAACAAGAAAGCGTTGTGTCAACTTTATGAGAGAATGACAGTTAGCTCCCAAAAGGTAGAATTTATAACAGTTAGGTTCCCAACAAAATTTTCTAAAAAATGAGTTGTAAATATTGATTTAAATAGTTATGAGTAGAAATTCTTCTTACAATCTAAGAATTATATTTGATACTTAAATACTTATTTGCAATTGAAACTCTTGAGTTTATAATTATCTAGATCAATATTTTCTACTCATGTTTCAAAAAATTTTGCAGGGGACTTGATTGTAATAATTTAATGTTTTGGTACTTAACTGTCATTCTCTCAATTTATAATGGTTCGACTGAAGTTTCTAATGTTATTTTTGTCGCTCTTTTGTGGGGCATCATATGGGAAGGAGGGATTGAACAGACCACTGCTTTAGGAGAGAGGAAGAGGAGACAAATATAAAGAGGATTGAAGCTAATTTGTTTTGTTTTGTTTCGTTGTTCTATGGTTTGGGCTTTTTGACTTGTCAATTTGAATTTCTTTCACACTGATTCTGTTGATTGGGTTTAGAAAATGGCATCTTATGAGAAAATGAGATTAATAAATTTCAAAGTATCATGAGATTCAGTTTTAAGGAAATGACGGATAAAATGAGATTTTTTTATTTAAATGCATATTGCAGTTATTAAAGAATTATATTGTATAAAAAAAATTAAATATATAGACAATGATATCTGATTTATATATGTAGTATAAAGAGTTGAAGTGTATTTTGTAGTTCTCTAATTTTATATAAAAATTAAATCAAACATCATTGTCTGTATCGGTGGGGACATGTCAAGTGCCTTTCAGGAAGCATGACACTAGGGGTGAGGGAGCTGCATGCTAACCTAGTAAACCTGCTCATGCTCGATGGCATTCGACAAGTTTGAGCTATCCTGTTAATAGAAGGAAACGGGTGGTCTAAAAAATTTGCTAGCTTTTTTCTGGGAAAAATGGACGAGATGGGTTGTGGGCAAGCCATCAAGCTTCTGGTACCTGCGCTCTCTCTCTCTCTCTCACTCACACACACACAAATCAATCAATATAAATATTGATTATAAAATATAATTTTAAATATCTATTAAATTATATTAAGGGTATAATTTAATAAATTAAATACTACAAAAACTCATATCATTATAATAACATATAATACTCTTCATGTAATTTTTTTTATATCTATTAGAATAATGTTTTTTTAAATTTTCATTAAATAGAATCTATGTACCTATTTTGTATGGCTAAAATTCTTTATAGATTTTTTTTTTCTAAATTATTAACTTTTCATTTTAAAACTATTACTATTTAAGGTCATGAAACATGTAAAATTTGAAATAATCAATTTTCTAATGGGATAAGTAAAATTTTATAAGCGGGGCAAGTTAAATTTTTTGAAGTAGGGAGGCAAATGAAAAATTTTTCAACGAGGTAACTGTAATTATTAAGGTCATTTTAGGTAATATTTTCCGCTTGGTTGGTGGGGGCAATTGCTCCTGAACGTGGGTACGTCCCTGCATTCAACTATCAGCTATGGTATACAAATTTTGTACACTACCTAAGTGGCCAGTGTAAGATTTTCTATTGGTTGATGGATTTTTCTTGGTTAGTCAACCGGATTCAATTTATTTTTCCATTTTAGATTTACTAGTCTACTTTTATCTTTCCAAGAGAGCATTAAATTCAATTTCAAAAATATTATAGAGCCATATATCACAATCATTATGGTCCATATAATGAGTCAATGCTAATATATGAATTTATAATCCTTTTAGGATTATCACTTTATATTTCCGCAAACAAAAGAACATTGATATTCTTCAAAGAAGTATGTCATGGCATATAAGTATATAGTTTTTACTTAGAAATATTTACGATTGGGTTTGATCTCATTTTCTTCATAATTTGATAGTAGCAACAATTGTAACTCTTGCTAGCAAAGTAGCAATGATAAATATTCACGAGTTGAGTACTTCATCTCAGGGATGATTCCAGAAACAAATACATGGGGACAAACTTGAAAACTACTTAAAATATGGGAAGCTAACACTAATACAAAATTTCCAAAGCGGCTATGAAATTGGGATGGGGAAAGCATCCCCCTTGCCCAACCTTATATTCGTTTTTGCTTCATTTATCCACCCTGTTCGTTTTTGCTTCATTTATCCACCCTAAATGAAGTCATATGTTTCATCAAGTGATGTGTTGAAAAAGAAATAATGAAAACAAGTGTTTTATCATTTTAAGAATTAGTATTTTGCAGAACATATTTAAAAAAAATGAAAATAAATGTTTTTTTATATTTTTTTATTTTTCAAAACAATAATTTCATAATACAAAATACGTTTCTGTTTTTCTATTCTTTAAAATAATACTTAATTTTTTTTATATTTTAAAATATTTTTTAAAAATACATTATTGAATAGATTTTTTTATTTTTGTTTTAGAGAATAAAAAACTAATTTCAGAAATAGCTAGCCAAACAAGCTCGTTATTTGCAAGTACTTCCAGGAATTTAAATGGTAAAATTTTAGAAGTTTAAATGTATTATGATTGTGTCTTCACACAATTACAAGTTTTTTCACTCTTCAACTTAATGATGTACACGATATGATGAATATAATTGATTCCATTTTAGTGAGGGAATTTATCAATTTTTAAATTGCAAATCAATCTAAATTTGAGTTTATTACCAAATCATACTTAGTGTTGAATTTCACAAATAGCTTCATATTAAATAAATATCTTTCTTGTATATGTATAAATTTAATGTAAATGGAAATTTATTTAATCTACTTTTGTCGATTTTTTTTTTCATAATTTTTTTTTCTAGTTATACTTATTTGTTCATCCTACCTAAATAAGATGTATGAAATGACTAAGTGGATGTGACATAGATGATAGTGCCAGTGGTATGAATTTCTTGACCATCGTTTTGGGATTTTATTCGTTGAGATGTATATGAAATAACATTGTTTGAAAGAAGATAATATTTTAAGTAAATCTCAAATTTTTTGAGAAATTAGTTTTATGGTCAGTTTGAGAATAACATTATATATATACAATAAAAACTGAATAGATATAATGTTGTCAATGATATATTTTTTTAAAAATCATTTTAGGTGTCTAGCGTTCTTGTAAGAGGATTAACTCTATTCAGTTTAAATAAAAATTTTTGTATTCAATTTTACTTTTTCTGTTTTTCATACTGCATATTCATCAAGCTTCTTTATCAATGATAATCTTAATCCAGCTAACTCCTTGTTGTAGGTGAAATTCCTTGTCATGGATATAATACTGTATTTGTTACAATTGAAAGTTTCTGCAAGTTTCCTCATGACTAATTTTTCAAGGTATTTAATCAAGCTCAACGATCAGGAAAAATATTACTTGCTCCTGTTTTAAGTTAAAAAGAAAAAAGAAAATGACAAATAAATCTTGCAGAAATAAGGAATTGATAATTCAGTCTCATAAAATGTAATAATATCTTTTAATTCTTAAAGGATTTAATTGTCATCAATATTTTTGACAAATTGACAAAAATATTCCTTGATTTAAAAAAGTAAAGAAAAATAGTGAGAGAAATATGGACCTAAATCATTTTAATTGTTGATCGAGCAAGGCTTGTGAAGTTCAGAACTGTGAATGGAAAAAATTTTTCTTGCATTTTTCTGATTGAAAAAAAAAATGATGAGAGAAAATTATAAATGTTTAAACTATTTTAGCTATTTATTGAATCAGAGTTATAAATTTTAAAATTAAAGTTGTGAACCAAAAAATACTTTGTCAATTGAAAAAAATGATAAAAAAATTGTGAATATTCAAATCACTTTAGTTATTTATTGAATTAGGATTGTGAATTTTAGAATTAAAATTATAAAAAAATTTATTGTAATTTTTTAAATTAAGAGATATTTTTATTATTTTATAAAATTTTTAAATAACAATTAAGTCTATGAAAATTATCATTTCTTTATTTTTCAAGGATTTATTTGTCATTTAAAATATGTATATATATATATATATATAAAATATAAATACATAAATGTTTAAATAAAGAAAAAGATATCCGTTATCCACGCACCGGCGATTACTCACCGTCACGGTCTCACACTACTTGGCCGCCTTCTTCACCCTCATCACTGAAACCCTCTGCGTGTTTGCGTCTTGCATGTTGCGACATTCTCTACATACTTGGGCTCTTTGGGTCCTTTTCTAGATACCTCTTCTCTCCTTCTTGCATGACATTCCCCAGGTTTCCCTGCTGCTAATGCATTAATTCCTCCCCATTGTCAAATTCGACCAGCTCCTCCCAGTCAACACCGTCGACAGCACGCTGGAGTGTTCCGCCAAGTTCATGCCAAGTAAAAATCGATTTTCCCCTTTCTTCATACTAGAAACTATCTAACAGATTCTAGCTAACCTTCTATGATTTTGGTCGAGTATTTAGTGATATTGACCCTAAATCTTGACATTGATTTCGATTGAATTTCTTTTGGTCTTTCTTATTCCGGATGTAAGAATTTCTTCTGTTGGGTACATTCATTTTTTCTGGATTTCACTCTGTTTGGAGGCAAAACTCATGGCCGCAGTGATGTTCATGCACTTCTTCATTCCAGTGGTATTGTGAAAGTATGGTATGATGACACAAATACTTTGCTGGTCTCTCAGTTTGTGTCTCTAATATCGTTCATAGTTCCATATTTAAATTAACTGAGCTATGTCTCAAAAATAAAAAATGTTGTCGGTTGATTTACTTGTACATTTTGTCTCTTGTCCCTAAGTAATTTCTGTACGTTTTGAATGCAAATAAGATCTTGAGAAATTCGTTCTACTTGACTGGAAATCTGGACGATACTTTGCCATGTTTCTAAATCGGCAGGCTGTTGTCCTATTCCTACAAAAATAAAGGGCTGTCGTATTTTTGTCCTTTATAACATTCTTATTTAAGTTTATATTGTGATATGCATTTGTGAGTGTGATGTTTCGAAATGGCTTCTTTTTTCTCCAATTCAAGGTTTGTTGCCTTCAAATTCAGTTGAGTTACATTTTCCTGGTTTGCTTACTAATATGCTTTGAATATTAATTGACTGGCATTTTGAGAGTACAGGCCATTCTAGCTGCACTAGGAGTCAGTGATTCCAAAAAGAATGTGTTAAATTTTGATTTAATTTTACTAAAATGAGAAAAGAGAGGGAATTAAGGTTATATGATTGGTAATAGTTATTAGTTAATGACAAAATTGTGCAAAATTAATTCGTTTTTTATATTCCTTTTTTTTTTTTTGAGTTATTACTAAGTGAAGACAGTACTTTTTTAGGAGCATTTATTACTTATCCATTATCCTCCCCAAATGTGAAGCCAAATGTTGACTTTCCCTGCCCAATGTCAACACAGCATCTGCGACCTATGCCTCTTGAGAATCCATTGCTCTGTTATAAACTGTGTGTTTCTCTCAGTGCGACAACATTCTCTTCTTCTCTGAAACAATATTCATCCCAAAATGGAGCAAAGGCAATTTTGACTCTTGAACAACTTCCTCCAAATGCCCTTCGCCGCAAGAGTGACCCACATTGGAGAGGAGGCTTCAGCCTTGGACTCGATTTGGGAATGGCTCGCACAGGCCTTGCCCTAAGTAAAGGCTTTGCTGTTCGTCCTTTGACGGTAATAATTAATTTAGTTCTTCATTGTTTTTGGAGAGAATGACAAATAGGTCTCAAGGGAATCAATTAATTCAAATAAATTCTCAAAGCGCCAAATTTCAAGAATTTGCAAGTCCAACCCTCAATTTTGTTCTTTCGTCGTGATGAATTTGTAATTTATATTCTAAATTTTAACGAGAAAAATAAATTTGTTTATTCTTCAATCATGTTAAAATTTAGAAAACAAGTTGCAAATTCGTTACAACGAAATTGTAAAATTGAGAGTCGAATTTACAAATTCCTGGAGTTGGTATTTTAGGACTTAATTTGAGTTAATTAGTCCCCTTGAAACCTATCTATCATTCTCCCCTTTTCTGGGGTCCAAAACGTGGTTAAATATGAAATATTAGGAAATGATCTCTGGCCTTTAGTATTTTGATGTTCAAGTAATTGAAAACCTATGCATCAAACTTTTGAGCTTGAAATATTAAGGGAAAAAAAAAGTCCCCTATCCAGAACTGGTGGGTTCCAAATTCTTCATGTCCATGTGTTTCAGTAATTAAAAATTTCAATGAACATGGGTTGAATGGTTGACTTTAAATTTTTAAGGTGTTTATTTAAAAGGTCGAAAGTAGTGTTCAGGGAAGAAAATTTTGCCAATTGGTTAGGATAGAGTGCCATCAACTCATTTTTCTCTACACTACCCTGTTAGGATGCAGAAATTTATTAATTGCTATTGGATGATGGAGCATAATGCTTCTAATTGTTAGCCTTCTTTTTCTGGTTTAGTTTTTTAATTGTTTTTATCATAGCCTTTGCCTTATTGAAATGAAAAATGTCTAAAGTAGAATGTTGAAATCAGAATTATGTGGAGGTTCCTTGTGAAGTTCCTGAAGACAAAGGAAAAGAACACGTGGGCATAAAATACCATTGTCTGCCTTTATATGTATGCTTTTGGTGACTCAATTGATAATGTAAGGTTCTTGACATTGCAATTCCTCTATGTGAACAATTTTTAATTTGGAACCTCTGCATAGTTTAAGTTTTGACGTGAGTCATGTTACACAAGTTGCAGCTGATCTCAAGTTTTCAGAATGTGCAACGTTACTGGTGTTCCTTATTCAGTGCACTAGAAGAAATTCCGTGCTTGTCAGTTGTATATTTTGTACATTTTGTGTGATAGAATTGCCTATTACATTGGTTATTGAATATTTCACATGCCTATAGGCTATAACATGATTATTTTATGGTTGTATTGTTAACACTGCAATTCATGTAGCTGATTTCACTTAGTCAAATAAAAGCTTGTTCTTGTTGTATTATTGCACTGAAACTAACTTGTCACAACCAATGAAATTTTATTGTGTTTCATTATACATCTATTCTCATAATCCTATAGCTGTTTTAGGTTTTGGAATTGCGAGGGCAGAAGCTTGAGGTCCAGCTTCTTAGGATTGCTGAACAGGAGGTCCAAATCCTCTCTCTCTCTCTCTCTCTCCCCCCATGTAATTCTATGGTTGAGGTTCCATAGCTGTTTAAATATGTTTTTTTAGTGATAGAATATTTTAAATATGTCAGGAAGCTGACGAATTTATCATTGGGCTTCCTAAATCTTCTGATGGGAAGGAAACACCACAATCAAACAAAGTTCGCAGCATTGCAGGAAGGCTTGCAGTTCAAGCCGCAGAGAGGTCAGAGTCACTGGTGAAACTTTTGCTTGTTTTATAAATTCCATAAAAGGAGAAAGAAATGTTCATAATGTGTTGATAACAATCTTTAGTGTCGATTTAATATATCATATCCATTTTAGAGTTGCTAAACTAGAACCTTGACTTGTGGTCCTGCTTCCAAGTTCAGACCTAGGTTCCTGATCTTGATAATCAAATTCTTCCACATATAAGTGGGTAAGTGATTTCCTCGCCTCGTTCATTTTGGAAACTAGCTATTTAGACACCGCCACTTCTAAAATCATAGTATCATAGCACATCTTATCCCAAAAGTGATCTAATATCAGAAGGAAGAAAAGAGAAGAATGTATTCTGAAGCTTATGTAATTAAACATGAGTATGAAATTTGAACGATGTTTCTGTAACAACACCTGATTGGAGGTTCTTTGAATTGATGTGGCTATTTAAAATGCCAATGTTATAACTCAGCTTTTTAATTTCAGGGGTTGGAGAGTGTATCTACAGGATGAACATGGGACAACAGCTGAAGCAATTGATCGAATGATTAACATGTAAATTGCTGTGGAACCTATTTTTCGTACTCCATTCTTGTACTTGTTTTTGGAATTATTTATTGTTTGAGAGAGTTTCCTTGTTTCTTTAGTATCATGAACTATATATAGTTGAATATTTGCATGTAGCTGTTTCTATCAATTGTTAGTGTGGTAATTTTGCTATTTATTGGTTACTATTAATTAAAGCGCACAAGAGAACATATTGCAAGCAGATATTGTATTCAACTAAGATAATTTTAATTTTGTCTGTCCTGCATGAAAGGGAATTGAAGGGAAAAGAATCTAGGAACTTCCTCATGGCTTTTTTTGGTCAAAGCAATGATTTGACATCCTTTAGCGGGTATTATGTTGGTAAGATTGAAGGAAAAACCTGCATGCGTAACACCATGGAGAAAAATTATTGGCAAACACTAATATACGTAACATTACATTTAGATAAGATTCTTTTGTACTTCAAGGCTATATCAGTCAGCACCAAATCCTTTGCTCATGGTGAAATATACTTTGTTGAACTCACACTAATGTAACTGTTCAGATTCCGCTGAAGTTAGTGTGAGCCAAAAAATTCTTGTATGACATTCATTCTTTTATTGGGAAATTAACTTTCCAGTAACTCTTTCAGGGGTCTCAGTAAGTCCTCTCAGCACAGGAAACTTGATGCTTATGCTGCCATGGTTAGTAACTTCATCTAAGGAAACTTTCTGTATTTGAGATATTTATATTTTATGATGTGGTTTAACCATTGAGTGCATTTACAAAGCACTGGCCGAAAACAAAAAGTTGTGTCCATATATATTTGGTACATTTTAGATGTGACGATTCAAATTTTTTTATGGACATCTAGAATATTGTTGTGTCCGTGTGCAACTCTGGAGTAATTGAAACTCGTTTTTTCTTTTTTCTTTTTTTTTCTTTTGGGTTTTGTAGATGGTACTGGAGAGATATTTCCACTTGTCAGGTGAGGGTGTTGAACTTGTATTGCCCAAGAATCTTGATCTGCAAGAAAAGCTTCAAAAGGGTCCTCCCAAAGACATTGATTTCTTTGATGAATTTGAGGGCTGAAGAGTGGTCACAGGGAGGTAGTGACATGGCAAGATGAAGCTTTTGGAAACCCTACTGTTATTCATGCTTGAGAAATCTTATCACACACGAACGAGCAGATGAGAAAGATTTTAGGGCCCATTTGTTTTGTTAGAATGGAATGAAATGAATTATAAAAAAAATAAAAATACATTGATCAAGATGTGGGGAAGAGATAAGTTAATTATGTTCATGTGGAGGAATGGATAATTTAAATGGATAATTTAGTTCATGAGATTGAAAGTCATGATTCCTGAGGTTCACAGTAAATTTGGTGATTCTCATATTCAGGGCTTGTGGTATTGAGTTTTTTTATGTTTATTATGAAAGATTGGATAATTTAGTTCATTTTTATTTTTTATTTATTTATGTTTCAATCATTTCTACTAAGCAAACAGTCTTTAATAAAATGTTGGGTGAAAATCCAGATTTTGACTTGACTTTGCTGCATTTCCATTTTAATGTAAAGCAGGACAAAGAAACACTGGTAGAGAAGAGGAGTGCCTCAAGGAATTGGGGGGGGGGGGGACAAGGAAGAAGGAAGCTAAGAGGGGATCGAGGCAATATTTTTAACATAAATGTGTTGCATTACTTCTTGTATTTTATTGGGAGAATTTCATTTAAAGATTTGAGAAGGAATTTATTTTTTGGTGGCTCCCAAAATATTTCAAAATCTCAGTTCAGTTTTTAGGATTAAATTGAAAATAAGTTGAATGTAGAAAAGATTAAAATACTCTCAGTTTAAATATTTAAAAAAACCATCAATTATTATCATCGGAGCACTATCATCAGTGATCGGAACCTCGTTAGCGATGGCAGCCATTGGACCATCGTCAGTGGTGGTTGGAGTTATATGGAAAATTAAAATTTCTACAATGATGGCTAAGGTAGGTGTAGAATCCAAGATCCCTTGGCTCATCAAAAGATTTTGGATCACCAAGCCACTTAACCCATTCAATTATATAATGCATAAAATTATATATATAATAAATTTTGTTTTCAAATCACTTGATTATTACGTTATTTGTTAATCATGTAACTTTACTTGTTAATACCTTAACAAGACTTGTTAATACCTTAACAAGACTTGTTAATTAATTAACTTTCCCTATTAACTCTATGACTCCTGCAACAAAACTAATTTACTTATTAATTGTGTAACTATACTTGTTAATACCTTAATAGGATTTATCAATTATTTAACTTTTCTTGTTAAGCCTATGACTCCCACAATAGAGTTACATTACTTGTTAATCATGTAACTGTAGTTGTTATTACCTTAATAGCACTTATTAATTACTTGAATTTACTTCTCAAATCCATGACTCCTTTAACTGAATTACATTACTTGTTAATCATATAATTTTACTTGTTAATTATGCAACAATACTTGTTAATTACACAGCTTTACTTGTTAGGGGCGTATGGTTGGTATTATTACAATCTCAATATGTGCATTATCATTTAATGAGATTATCTGTGTTTAAGGCTTGGTCATATAGTTGTTAGTATTGTGAGTAGTGGCTATGCTTATTATATGAGCTATATTTGAATGTATTTTTCAATTTGCATTTGTTTTCGATTGATATGCAACTATAGATTAGGTGAAACTTGATAACTGAGTGGTTGCACTCACCCCTCAATTCTCAACATTTTCAAGGCCTAGCTCATCGAATCTAGTTCAAGGAAAGCATACTGAGGCATAGGATTGTGGTGAAAATCCTACTTTCATACCTCTCTACTCTATTTATGTGTATTAATGTTGTAAAATTGCCAACTAGATCACATGTCATTATTTTATACTGCTTGCATTACTATAGTATACAACTTGTGTATTTGGTGCCCTGGGTTAGTGAGTTTTAGTTGTAAACCCTTAGATAGGGTCAAAATACTTGTGCAAGTAGGAACATGTGTATTTTGACTGTTTTGAAATGAAATGAATTATTTGTTCAAACTTTTTCTCCCCCTTGTGTTTGTGAAATTTGGGGTTAAGATGTGAAATTGATATTTATGTCTTTTTCATTGAGTATGGTGGGTTGCACGGGTTCACTAGAGTTCATTGAGTGTGATTGAATGGTTGGTGTAAGTTTTTGGCACTTATAGTTGAGTTGGGACACTATTGTTGTGAGTTTTATGTGAAATAGTAGTAAATTGGGTTTTGGAGTCCAACTCTTTGTAAAAAATGAATTTGGGTGCAAAACTTGTGCCATTAGTTAGAGTTAGGAGAAAGCTTCGTATAGACACCAAAACTACCTCAATCGGACATCAAACGGAGATTTGGAACAAGTCGAAACTTTGCTCCCACTGTTGTCAACTGACAGTAGCTGTCTGTTGTTAAATTGCATGCAATGCGCCATGTTGCATGGCACCTCACGCCGCGGTGCATGACATAGAGGCAAGTGAGCTATGGTGCATTGACACTTAACCACGGTGCATGACACATTTTTCTACACATTTTCACTGTTTTGAGTTTTAAAACTCAATGCTTTGGGTCCCATATGATTTTCGGGCTTCCACATTTTTTTTTAAAATTTGATTTGAATAATGTGTGAGTTTATGGGAGAAGTTTAATTGTTGAAAGGGTGGGATCTCATTGTAAATGTTTTGTGAATTGTTCTCCCATTTATATAATTTTACAAACTTAGTAATTTACTTGGGTTAGTCCCATAATTACCTTGATTATGGAGTTAAGTGTAGTTTAGTAAGGGAGACCTTACACTATTAACTTTTCATAAACAACATCTCAGGACCCAAAATACAAACTAGACATTATAGACATCCATATATTGCAAGTGTGAATAAAATCCATCCCTAATTGGCAATATTAAGTCTATTACACAAAATAATTAAAACATAGAGGCATATACTAGGAATACACATATTCCTAAGCCTCTGGAGCTTTCTCCCTTTTTGCACCAGAGCTAGAGCATGTAAGATGTTAAAGAAGATGGGTGATCTAGGCACTCAATAACCAAAATAAGTCTATCCTTTGTAGTTATATATTAATTGAAATAAACACATAAGTATGAAATAGATTTTCTCAAACACACATTAATAAATGAAACCACAATTTCTCTTTTCTCAATTAGCTCATTTCCATTTTGATCACGAAATACATAGCCACAAGACATTCAGACAAGTGACCATGAATCGTTATATTAACACGATTTGCCATAACTTAATCATGTGACACGTCATATAAACACATATATGTATGATTATACCATCCTTATATCTTCCTTATTTCCTCCGACTGAAACCATAGGATATAACATCAAATAGGGCTCTGTCCGTATGATTGGACTACCTAAACTTACCAATTATGAGGTGTGACCCGATTAAAGATCAATGATTTACTCTCAGACCACAATTTCCCTACTCTCGAATCTCTAAGGTGTTGTGTAACCTAAGCTAATCTCCTTGGTAAACTGGTAGAGATAACTAGGTTCTAGTTCCTTGATAAACTATAGGATAAGGCTATACCCTCATGCATCAGAAGGTAGCTAAAATACCATATGAATTTTTAACTACTCCTTTTCTTAGGCGAACTCCTGCCCACTGATTATACCATAAACGATGCTCACTCACTAATCATAATTTTTATTTTCAAGATCAACATATTGGACTTGCGACCATACACTACCTAAGTGAGCATTAATTTTCACTTTCACATTTATCACATATATTCACTACTTTCAAACTCAACCTCAACTACCTAATTTCATAACACATTGCAAATTACAACTCATTTCAAAAATCACCTTTGCAACTTAAAAATCCATTATGCAATTACTCTTTACTTCTTTACTTCACATCCAAGCAATTACACAAACACATAATCTAATAGCATGTTAAACATATTCACAATTCAAATTTGCATAAGCCAAATACACACATTTCAAATTGCAATACAATTAACAGGCAACTATCCAAGATAGGGTTCCTCCATTACCTTAAACCTTTAATAGGTCAAAAGTTTACCCCTCTAAATTTGAGCTTTCAAGCTTGATTTCCTAAGCCAATATGGTGCCCAAATGTTCAATCTAAAATTAGTCAAATTCTTAACTCATCAACAATCCCAAACACACATTTTCAACTCTCATCTTTCACTTTTAGATTATCTAATGCCCATATTTTTTATGTTTGGGCTTATCCATTATGTTTATTAACCATCTTTGGCTCCCATTATGCTCATTAATCCTCCATTAATGGCATTACAACTTTTCCAACAACCCTCATAAATATTATTTTTTGGATATTTATGGCATATACCAACCAACATCTTTTAAAATCATTAATACTAATTTTAAATACTTTAAACAACTCCCATTAACTCAATTTGAGTTATTGAATTTAGACCTATAACCTATATGGACCAAAAATCATCATCCCCATTCAAAATATAACACAAATCTTTGAAAAAAATGGAAGAGGAATGGAGGAAAGGGGTTTAGGAACCTTACCTTAGGTGATTAGAAGCTTCAAACCTTCTCAAATCCTCCCTAAAGTTGTTCCCTAGTAGAGCAAAGATGATCTCCTCCATTTTTCCTTTTCTTTCCCTTTTGTTTTTCGCATTAGTTCGTGACTTATTTCTGTAGAACATGTGCTGTGCATCATGGCACGCGGTACAAAGAAGATAGTCTCATGTCTCTTGGCCCTGTGCATCATAGTGCACCATGCACACATCGTGATATGTGGTACAGAGGCTTTTTTGCTTATTTTTCTTTACTTTTTGATGCCCAAGTGACCCAATTTCACTTTGAACCCAATTTATACATGAAATTCCAACTAAAAACACCATTAGTCTCCTATTAAATAAATCCTACTTAAATACACTCGATTACTAAATTGTCAAGACTTTAATTTTCGGGATGTTATAGTTGGCTCCTAACTACACCCTCACGAGCATTAGGGAGTTATCAAACTACCCAAATCGCTACATGGTAACAATCCTAAATATTTGTTGCACTGGATTGCCTTATGATGTTAGCTTGATCATTTGAATTTTCTTTTCACACTCCTCCACTCAACTCAAGGCGAACTCCCACCTCCTAATATGATTATGCCATTTTTCACACATATATCACATTTCATTCACATATTCATATATATAGTAACTCATTTTTCTAAAACCACTTTTCACAATTAATCTAGTTTATAAATCAAACCCTTTTTAGGCTAAAACATGCACACATGTAATTTGAAAGCATGCCAATGATTAAAATCATGTACCACATTCTCATATTTACTTATAAATAGATAATTTAGTTAACAAACAGAATGAATTGTCCGATCACATTAACACTTTTTTACTAAAGGGTTACTAATGGTGAACGTTTTCTCCAATA